GGTGGTGAACTTGGGTGTTGAGGAGAGAGGAGGAAAGTGTACTGCAGAGGGCTGAAAGAGCTATGGTGAGGATGATGTGTGGGGTTAAAGTGAAGGATAGGAGGAGTATTACAGAGCTGATGTCAATGATGGGACTGAATGAGGACATTGTGACATTGATAAGGAGATCGAGATTGCGGTGGTATAGACATGTGTTGAGAAGGGATGAAAGGGTCGGGATTAGGCGAGCGTTGGAGTTCGAGGTTGAAGGAATGGTAGGAAGGGGTCGTCCGCGATTGGGATGGAGAGAGCAGGTGGAGAAGGACAGGGTGAAAGCGGGGTTGCGTGATACTGAGGCGAGTGACAGATGTGGATGGCGTCAAGGGGTATTTCGGTTTCATCATAGGTAGCCAAACGGCAAACCCCGATCTCGGGGAAAATGTCGTCTAAACTTGTGTTGTTGTTGTTGTTATATATATCAATATATATATATCAATATATATATCAATATATATATATATATATATATATATATATATATATTTTGATGAAAATCACAGCATGTTCGCCGTCAGTTAACTTCCAATTTAACTTTTCGATTTTTCTAACGGTTGATCGTAAATCATTTTCAAGTTTCTTTAGTTCAAAACCAAAATTTTTGTTTATTTTATGCATGATAGAACAGAAAAGCTTTTTTCGGTATTCCTATACCATCTTCGGTGTTCAAATTGATATGTTATGGTTGTGTCCAGAGGCTAAAATATTTTTATACTGTGCCTATTTATTGGTTCCTTGTTTGTTCCAAGTGAATATTTAGTTTTACAATCTTCAACGTCGTAAAATATAACACTTACGTGTTTGCATTATTGATAAATAAAACACTTATGTGTTTTCATTATCGATAAATATAACACTTCCGTGTTTTCATTATCGATGATTTCTCTGTTTTTAAATTTATTGGTAGGAAGAATTCCAATTGCCTGTTGTTGAATATTTATTATCAGATGTCTTTGTTCTATGATTATTGATTCGGATAGTCGTAAATTATAATGGTTGTTATTGTAATGGAAGATTGCAACATTGTGGTCCAAGATTTGTCTTGTAATTTTAGTTTTGTGTTTCTCTTTTATGTATGTGATTCTTTATAGCACCAGTTTGTACTTGCATCGTGAGTCCTCTCGATAACTTGGTCGTCGTCATACCAATAAATTTGGAATTATGGTGCTCACACCTATCAATATTACTGTTATAATACTCGCTGTCGTAACCGATTTACGATGCGACGGGTTCAAATCTTCGATTGAATAAAATACTCCAAACAGTTATTAGTTTTAAACTTTATTTACAGAAGAAATCAACTAATCGTTTATTTCTAGCAAATTCAAATTAACGCAACAATTAACTTTTAAATTGTTTAAAATCTATCGCTATGACAACGTTCACAAACAAATCAAATATCGCTTTAAATAATTCACCGAATCGCTATTCACGAAATCACAAAATCACGAATTTCACTAATCGCTAATCTTCTTGCGACGTGCGCTTATATACTCTTCGCAAGCGTCTTTTCTAGATTCTTCTAGATGGTCCGATTCTAGCATACTCTAGAATGCTCCAGTCACTAGAACATTCTAGAATACGCTAGAATCTAGTGCGTTCGGTAGCACGGTTATAACATTACCCCCTTTTTAGTTCTGTTCGTCCCGAACAGCTTTCGTTCCGGTGTCCGCATGGTACAGACCCAGTCTATCCAAATGAACGATCTTCATTCTTGCTCTCGGCTTCCGATATTCCTGAATACGGTAGACGACGTCATTCAAGCGGGTGATGACTTGATAAGGTCCTTCCCACCCTCGCTGGAGCTTTGGAGAACGTCCTTTCTTTCGCTGTGGGTTTTACAGCCAAACTAACTCGTCGACAGCAAAACCGCCACTGCTTCCTTTCAAGTCGTATCTGGTTTTGGCCGCCTCCGTGATTTTCATAATTTTAAGGCGTACGTAACGGTGGATATGGTTTAATCGCTGTCGAAGATTATCCACGTATCCTGTTAATGGTTGGTGTGGTTCAGGTAGTACGCCATATTTCACACCAGCTGGAGTTCTTAAGGTAGTCCCAAACAGAACTTTTGATGGCGTTTCTCCAGTAGTTGTGTGGATAGCACTCCGGTATGCCATAAGAAACAATGGTATATGACGATCCCAATCCCGTTGATTTTCGTCGACTACTTTAGCCAAATGTTCAATCAGGGTTTGGTTAAATCGTTCCACCATACCGTCAGACTGTGGGTGAAGAAGTGTCGTTCGAGTTTTGTTTATACCCAGCAGCTTGCACATTTCACCAAACAGTTGTGACTCAAAATTTCGACCTTGATCTGAGTGGAGTTCCAATGGGACACCATATCGACTAATCCAATAGAGTACAATTTTCTCAGCGACGGTACATGCTTCTTGGTTGGGTATTGGAAACACCTCAGGCCATTTGCTGAAATAGTCCGCTACAACCAGAATGTAACGGTTTCCATAATCTGATACCGGAAAGGGTCCAGCAATATCTATAGCAATCCGTTCAAGGGGACACCAACATTGTAGATTTGCATTGCTCCTTTTAGCCTTCTTTTGACTGAAGCGCATGTGTTAAATTTTCGACACCAGCTCTCTACATCTTTTCTAACGTGTAGCCAGTAGAACCCTTCTCGTATTTTGTCAAGGGTCTTGTTCACTCCTAAATGTCCCCCAGAAGGGCCGCCATGCATTTCATCAAGGATTTCGGTCGTTCTACTTCTTGGTATTACAACTTGCATGCGGTGTTTTGATCCATCAGCTGATTCCCATTTTCGTTTCAGCAAATCCCCTTCCAAATACAAAGAGTCCCACTGAGCCCAATAACCCTTTAACACAGCACTATATTCTGAGATGCTTTGCCAGTTCGGTCGCTTGCCCTCCTTCCATGTGATCAGATGTTGTAGGTCCTCATCCGCAAACTGTGCATCAGCAAGATCCGTCGGTGTCCAACCGTCATCCGCTGATATTGTTGTTGCTCCTATGTCTTCCGATTGTATCTTCTCGTGACGACAGCAATATTTGCATCCTGGTAAACATGGTCGACGTGAGAGAGCATCAGCATTACTATGAGTTGTTCCTTTGCGGTGCACGATCTCGAAGTCGTACATTTGTAAACGCTCCAACCATCGGGCCATCTGTCCTTCAAGACCCTTGAAGTTGAGGAGCCATCTTAACGCTGCATGATCAGTTCGGAGAAGAAATTTCTGTCTATAAAGGTACTTGTGGAAGTGTTTTGTTGCATTGATTGTAACTCCTTCCTGGTCACACAATAGTTTCGTTCGGGCTTTGTGAATCCTCTGCTATAATGCGCTAGCACCTTTTCTTCTCCGTCTATATGCTGTGACAAAACGGCTCCGATTCCGTTGTTACTTGCATCAGTATCTAACACAAACGTCTTGCCACGAACTGGATATGCTAGCAAAGGAGCATCACATAGTTCAACTTTTAACTTTTCAAATGCTGAGTCGCATAGGGTATTCCAGTTGAAAACTCGGTCCTTCTCGGTAAGTTGGTGGAGAGGTCTGGCAACTTTTGCAAAATCCTTTACAAAACGTCGATAGTGCGTTGCCAATTCCAGAAAACTGCGCAATTCATTTTTATCCTTTGGAGTTGGCCAGTCTTTCACAATTTCTATCTTGCTGGGATCGGTTCGAGCTCCATCTGAAGATACCACATGTCTCAAATAGTTAACTTCTTTAGAAAATAACTTGCACTTTTTAACGTTCAGCTTTAACTTTGCCACCCGAAGTCTTGTGAAGATCTCCCGTAAGTTTTCGACGTGTTGATCAAATGTTCTTCCTAGAACAATTATGTCGTCTAAATAGACAAGACAGGTTTTCCAGTTAAGACCTTGCAATACACATTCCATCAGTCGCTCGAATGTAGCTGGAGCATTGCACAATCCAAATGGCATGACGGTGAATTGCCCCGATCCGATAGAAAACGCTGTCTTTTCGCGATCGTTCTTGTCGATTTCTACTTGCCAGTATCCGCTTTTCAAATCAAGCGTAGAGAACCAACTTGAGCCAGATAGGGTGTCCATGATGTCATCAATCCTCGGTAACGGTTAGCTGTCCTTTTTAGTCACATCATTTAACTTCCTATAATCAACGCAAAAACGGGTAGTGCCGTCCTTCTTCTTTACCAAAACAACTGGCGAAATCCAGGGACTTGATGACGGTTCGATGACGCCTTGATTCTGCATTGTCGTTATCATTTCGTTTACTTCTGTTTGTTTTGCTAGAGGAAAACGTCGTGGTACTTGTCGGATCGGTTTCGAATCCTGAGTATCAATTCGGTGAGTTACCAGAGCTGTTTTACCTTGGTCATTGTCACCGGTTGAAAACACGTCTGCAAAATCGGCAATCAACGCCTCGGCTTTTAGACGGTCTTCTTGATACAAATTGAGTTCATCCAGTAGATTTTTGGTAAGTTCTTTGAGTCTACCTTTGTCAGTTGGTAGAACCTTTTCCTGTTGCTCCATATCTAATGATTTCACCAAATTTATTGATTGGCAATTACCTATTTCCTCGCCTTTTTTAATTTTAATAGTGTGTTTAGCGGTATTCATTATTCTGACTGGTATAAGACCATTTTTGTTCGCTTCTACCAGGCATTTTCCAATGACCGCGTTTTGTACATTTGTCGTTGAGGTTGGCTCCATCAAATAGAACGGGTGGCCCCCAGGATCGCAATTCAACTTGCCCCATACGATGTTTTCAGATGATTGAGGTAGTTCTAAGTTACAATCGACTGTCACTCGAATGCATTTTTTGTCGTTATCCCCCATTATCACTTCTGTATTTCTCCATCTAAGAATTCGTTTTTCTAAGTCAATTTTGAACCCATTTTTTGTCAGAAAGTCGACACCTATTATGCATTCGTCGATGATATCCGCGACTAAGAATAAACTTTCGAATAAAAAGTCGCCTAACTGTACAGTACGGAGAATCTTTCCATAGACTGGTGCTGTTCCTCCGGTAGCTGTTCGAAGGATGTATTTGTTAGAAGTCTCTTTCTTCAGATTGTGTACCAAATTAGATCTTAAAATCGATTTTGTTGCTCCGGTGTCGACTGTAATTACGCATTCTCGTTGATCAACTTTTCCGTTCAGCCATAGGTCGTTTCGATTTCGATGTAGTCTGGAAACGTTAATTACGGTACTGGGGGCGTCAATTCTACTAGCCAACCTCTGCCCCACAAAGTTGCTCTTATTAGTTTTCTCTTCTTTTGCGCCATTTTGTCGCGCAATTTCGGCAGTAGTTATCTTTTAGGCGGTGTTTACAATCACGACGTAGGTGGCCTTTTTCACCACAAATCCAGCATTGGGGTACACCAGGCTGTTGGGGCTCGCGTTTCACAACCACCTTCTGGCAAGAGCATTCTTCATGTACTTGGCGTAGACGTACGTCACTTTTTGATGCTAGCTTTGCCGATTCAAAAGTGAGACTGTGCGCAACGGCATCCTTGAGTTTTCGTTTATCTGACAAGAGAAGGGATTGTTTGAGTTCCGAATCACGAAGAGCTTTGATAAACGTATCCAGCGCAGTTTCGTCTCTATGCTCGGGGTCTGATGTCGGATACGACAGCAATGTCAACCGTTCGATATCTTGTGCCAGCCGCTGAATGGATTCGCCAAATCGTTGCGTTCTGTTTCTAAGCTGAGACCGATAAATCTGTTTCATGTGTTCTTCACCATAACGTAAATCCAACGCGCTAACCAGAACTTCATAGTTGAAGTGGTTCTCCGCCGGAATCGTCTGAAGAACCTCTGCTGCTGAAACTCGCAGGGCCAGTATCAGTGCTGTTGCTCGTTCTTTACCGTTCCAACAGTTACTAGTTGCCGCTGCTTCGAACTGGGTTTTATAAACGTTCCAGGACATCTTTCCGTCAAATGCTGGTACCTTCAAAGTTCTTCCGGATGCGTGATCTAACAGCATGGCCATTTTTTTGGATTGCTCCAATTCTCGCTTCAATTTGTCTATCTTGTGATCTACCTCAACGGTCTGACGATCAAGTTTCTGCTCGATCATTTCTATTCTTGTTGACTGTTCTTCAATCTGTTCTGCCACTTCCAATTTTACGTGTTTTAGCTGGTCCTTGATTTGTTTTAACTCCTCTGTCTGTCGTTCGGACTGTTCCTTGATCTGTTGTTTTAACTCTTCTGTCTGTTCGGACTGTCGTTCGGATTGTTCTTTGATCTGTTTCATTTCAGTTGACATACTAAGCAGAAGTTCCATCATTTTAGCGGTTGTAAACGTGCCTGTGCTAATTTCATTGTCTTCGTCAGCATCATCAAACTTGAATTCGTCTGGGTTCTTACCTTCGTCATAGAGAGCTTCTCTCAGACGTGCTACTTGTACTTTGTTGCCACTTGTGACAAGGCTTCGTTTCTGTAGTTCTTCTCGTAGCTGAACTACGTTCGAACCACACAGTTTTGACATCGTGTTCTTTTTCTATGAGTAGTAATTCGCTGGTCGAAGATCCCACTTCTGACACCAGTGTTATAATACTCGCTGTCGTAACCGATTTACGATGCGACGGGTTCAAATCTTCGATTGAATAAAATACTCCAAACAGTTATTAGTTATTAAACTTTATTTACAGAAGAAATCAACTAATCGTTTATTTCTAGCAAATTCAAATTAACGAAACAATTAACTTTTAAATTGTTTAAAATCTATCGCTATGACAACGTCAACAAACAAATCAAATATCGCTTTAAATAATTCACGGAATCGCTTTTCACGAAATCACAAAATCACGAATTTCACTAATCGCTAATCTTCTTGCGACGTGCGCTTATATACTCTTCGCAAGCGTCGTTTCTAGATTCTTCTAGATGGTCCGATTCTAACATACTCTAGAATGCTCCAGTCACTAGAACATTCTAGAATACGCTAGAATCTAGTGCGTTCGGTAGCACGGTTATTACATTACATTTGAACAATTCTATTAGATGGATGTGATCCATTATCGATTCTGGTTTACTACTGCAGTTTTTTATTACAAGAGATGACGTTTTTTGGTTGGAGTAGTGTATATATATATATATATATATATATATATATATATATATATATATATATATATATATATATAATAGAGTTTAGCATATAACAACTAAATTGTGTTGCTCTGAAAAAGAGAAACAACAATTAAAGCTATTATATATAATAACCAATATTAACTAAGTGCTAGAAGAAATATTCAAAATATCCAAATAATTTCAACTCAAACAAAAACTTAAATTTAATCTGTCAAACGTAAAACTTAAGAAATATTCAAAATATCCAAATAATTTCAACTCAAACAAAAACTTAAATTTAATCTGTCAAACGTTTCACAATTTACACAATAACGTTGTACACCATAACTCAATTCATAATGAAGTGGAAATCCTTCATTACATCTCCCCCTCAAAAGAAGACTTAGATTCATCCGGCACAGGAACAAGTTTTGTAACGTGGAAAAGATTGGATTCAAACTTTTTGTGTCCTGTATTGATTCTATAAATTGAGTTCGACAATTTTTCCAAAACCTGGTAGGGACCGATTTTTAATTCCTCTAGTTTTTTTCTATTTAATGAATTTCCGTTTTCAACATATACCAATTTTCCTATTTTTATTTCGTACGTTTTCCTTTTTTTATCAAATTGTTTTTTATTATAATTGTGTGATTTTATAGTTCTTTCTAATGCTATTGTTCTATCTTTCAATAAATTATTATATATCATGTTTTTTTTTAATTCCTCTGGTAAAATATTATCAATTTTTCCTTCCAATAAATATTTTGGCGAGAAACCTGTCACAGAGGTTTCATTATATTTTTTTGTACAATCCTGAGCAATAGTTGTCCAGGCTAATTTGTTTTTTTTCTCATTAATCTTGCACCTTATTTTATTGATTAATGTTTGATTTAATCTCTCATTGAGCCCATATGAAAAGGGCACATTCACTGCAGTGAAAACCATAGTTATATTTTTTCATCCAGAAAATTTTTAAATTCCTTTGAGTTTATACTCGGATATTGATCCGATAGAATGAGACCTATTTTATTTTCTGATGATACTGTATGGACAAGTTTTATAAAATCGCTTGAACTTTTAGTTTTTGAAGTCAAAATATATGCATATCTTTTGAAGTGATCTACCAGAAGATGCAAATATGTTTTAGTTGAACGTGAGCCACCAAGTCCCCCAATGGTATCAATTGACATGATTTCAAAAGGTTTTGTAACGGGGCCTAGATGGGACATTAATTCAAATTTATATTTAGATCTGGATTTATTTTTTATGCAGATTTCACAAGTTTCGCAACATTTTTTTATATTTTGTGTTATTTTTTTTTGCTATATACAAGGGTTTTATTTTTTTTCCCATTTGTTGTATTCCTATGTGACCATATAAAATGTGCGTGTTTTCTATAATTTTTATACTAAATTCCTCAGTCAGTAAAATCTTTTCCGTTTTTCCCACCTTTTTGTAATATACTGTGTCTTTTAATGATAGTCGATTTTGGTGTTGTTTTATGTCTTCGTTTATTTTTTGGTCCTTTTGAATGTCTTCAAGTGTAATAAAATTTACAACTTTCAAAATATCTTCTTGGTTTTCATATGATTCCAATACAGGATTTCTACTCAAACCGTCTGCTTCTAAATTATATTTACCTGGTGAATATTTTACTTCAAAATCAAACAAACAAACAAACACACGTTTAGACGGCATTTTCCCCGAGATCGGGGGTTGCCGCTTGGCTACCTATGATGAAACCGAAATACCCCTCGACTCCATCCACATCTGTCACTCGCCTCAGTATCACGCAACCCCGCTTTCACCCTGTCCTTCTCCACCTGCTCTCTCCATCCCAATCGCGGACGACCCCTTCCTACCACTCCTTCAACCTCGAACTCCAACGCTCGCCTAATCCCGACCCTTTCATCCCTTCTCAACACATGTCAATACCACCGCAATCTCGATCTCCCTATCAATGTCACAATGTCCTCATTCAGTCCCATCATTGACATCAGCTCTGTACTACTCCTCCTATCCTTCACTTTAACCCCACACATCATCCTCACCATAGCTCTTTCAGCCCTCTGCAGTACACTTTCCTCCTCTCTCCTCGACACCCAAGTTTCACCACCATATATCATCGCTGCTCTCACACATGCTTTATATACCCTCCCTTTATCTTCACTGACCACTTTCTTTCCACACATCATCCTCACCATAGCTCTTTCAGCCCTCTGCAGTACACTTTCCTCCTCTCTCCTCAACACCCAAGTTTCACCACCATATATCATCGCTGCTCTCACACATGCTTTATATACCCTCCC